TATATATATATATATATATATATATATATATATATATATATATGTTCCAAAATGCATCCTAACTCAGTGATTCTAAACCGCATGTCCTCAAATGCTTAGTATCAAAGGTTAATGATCATAAGTTCATCAAGTTCCCATAAATCAAAAATAGGTCTTCTCATACTTCCGACGTGAGGATAAATTAAACCAGAGGGTTCCACAAGTTTTCTATAGATAACGAATAGGATCAAGTTCGAAGTCAATGATCAACAAGCTATTAAAGTCCATAATTACATTAGAGAAGCCTAATTATAGAATCCTCCACATCCACTTTGTCTTTCATCATCAGGTCACTCAAAAGGCTGAATATAACTGCATGAAACCAAGGATGCAAAGAGAATACTCTGCCTCGCCAACGTACTACCCTCTACCATGAACTAACTTGCAGAACAAAAGAATGATTGCAAAAGGAGGATTCTTTAAATTTGCAGGTAAAATGGTGTTACAATATTACTGGTTTCACTGCAATTCAGGTGCTTTAATTTAGACTTCGAGTATGCAAAGAGAAGTTTAACCCTCGGCCAACCATGTGTTCTTAGTTAACGAGGAACACGAATCCTATGCCCTACCAAAACCAGTGGCCTTAGGTTTATTAGTACTTCCTGCTGCTTTCCGACCATGCAACCCCACAGCTAGCGAGTAGCAAGGATCGTCAAACCGGGTTGAGCGAAATGAAAGCTGTGATCGCTTAGGGCCAGTTTGAGCTTGTTGAATCATCCTTTCCAAAGTACCATTTAAAGCTGCGTTTATCATGCAAGCAGTGTCGAGTCCTTGCATAGAAAAGAGCTACCGAGGGAAAATGGAAAAGCTTTGCATCGTAACTCAGCTGCCGTTTAATTGCAAGTTGCAGCTGCGTTGATGGAGACACATCACGATTCTTTCGAAAGATTCACCGGTCTCAATCGACGTGAGAGCCGGTCCTTCGTCCAGTACAAGCCAATGATGGAAGCTGGAGCTTCAACTCAGCCAGCTGCAGGTGAGGGAAGAACAACGGATGATTCCAAAGCGGTCTCCATCACTCACATGGATTCCCTCTTCGTGGTTGGCAGTCGCAGCTGCTAATAAAAATAGCTCCCGGGATGCTCGCTGATGGAAACATTAGTTTAAGCGCTGGGTGCTCAAGAGCTTTCTGATCTGGTCTTCTCTTGGAGGTTGAGGTGCAGCTCTCATGGCCTTCCTGCCTCCGGCTCTCAAAGTGGACTTTGTCGAAAGCGAAAAGCCCACGGCATTGTGTTTGGATTCGAGGCAGACGTTGGTGCCGTTCACATGGCCGCGGCTGCTTCCTCCGGGTGGTCCACCTGAATTGAACTCGGTGCATGACACATTAGTTTATGCGACAATGTTAAATGGCATGGCTCCTTGACAGCAAGGAAAGGATTATTATTGTTGCGGGTGGCATTATGATCACCGTTTGTGGAGCTTGAGTTGCTGCTGCTAACAGTCGCTTCTGCAATGTCCTTGTCCACTGAGGATTCTCCATTCACTGTTGTTAATGAAGAGAGAGATAGAGAGAGCACGAAAAGCGGAGGACCGGTGGGCGTGCCGTGTCGGCGCACCGCACGCGCCGGGCAAAGCTCTCGCCTCTCGAAGCGCGCGTGCGGTGCATGCGAGTGGATGACGTGAAGACCCGACCTCCTCGCTTTCCGCCTCGGCAACAGCTTCGTTTGGCCTCTGCGTTCTTCTCGCTTCATCCTCACCCTTCATGAAGACTGCATCATTTTGATGTTTAGATATCGCCGAAGTGAGCTCCAGCATCATCTCCGGCGCATGTCCATGATTCTGATATATCCCGTCATCGGTTTCCGACGTCGCCGGTTTAACTGCACGCACTTGACGTTCAAAATGCTGGCATACGCGTGCTGCCGAGATTCTAATATTGGCATTTGCGTCAACTCCAATTTCTATTTACCTCTATGTAATAATGATGCGATTGCGAGGTTACTCTCTCCTTGATTTGAAGATCGATATAATGTGTTGCAGTCCACCAAATTCGACCCGGATAACTTAATTGCCTAAAGAACAACACAAGTAGACTAGTATTTATTTTCTTTACTGTTCCTATTATTATTCGTGGGATAAGGATGGTGACAAAGATATGGTTCAGGCTATTCTAAAGGGAGAGTCTCCCGCAAACACACACCTGAATCGATCCTCCTCGATACCATATCGCATTCTGAGCCACTCCCTCGTCCCTGGCAACAAGACCTATGGTGAGGAGAAGTAGTTGCTTGAGCTCCTTATCCTACGCGATCAGTAAAACTCCTTCCTGAGTTCAGCCTCCAATGTCTTCTTGCGATGATTCCCACCTGCACGGTGTACGATGATCCATCAGACGTGCTGCAAATTTTCAGCTTTAGTTTCGCGTCTGGTAGCTCTTCCCCTCGAGCCGCAGGTGTTCTCCCTCTCATGTACCGAGTTCTTGGCCAACGTCAAAGGATCGCATTGGGCGGCGGCACTCGCGTTGGAGCACCGAAAGAGGGGCGGTGGGGATTTGCTGTCTCGACTCGAGACGGTCCAAGGTTCACACGAGATGAGATGGCGGCTTCCGGTAGGTCGAGCATGCAGAGCCCAGAGCCGCGTCGGTGGTCCCCACAACCTACACCGTGCTCTGCCGCACGGTCCGGTGGGAAGACTCGGTGGTCGGGGAGGTCTTCCTGCTTCGTCTGAGACGGCCATGACCGCGGAGGGAGGAAGGGCGGGGTTGGCGCCACCGTTAATGATGGTGGTCCTCCCGAGATTTGAGGCGGTCTCCGTGACAACTCCCGACCACCCCCGCCGCCTATTATTTTACCACGATAAAGCCACCACATGCGTCGCCTGCCGGGCCTCCGCCATGGCGGACGAATCCCCCGGTTGTTTCGAGGTGAATGACGAAAAGGCCACTGTGGCGAGTGATCCGCACATCAGACCGTGGAAAGCACTCGCGTTTCCCGGCAGGGTAGGAACGTAAATAATGTACAACGTTCGGGGTGGTTGGCGTGTGAATGATTGGTCTGTAGCGAGAACACGATCGCTAACCTAATCTGATGTCGACGTAGCTGACCTTGACTCGATCGAGACATGGATGGAGGAGTTGGTGCACCAGATACAAAGGCTTTTGGTGTATGCTTTGCAGGATAAGAGCTCAAGAGAGCGAAACATGAGGAGCTACGTACAAGCGGAAACGGCGGTGTCTCATCACAGTAAGGAGGGGACACGGAGGAAGTAGAACAGGAATCAGCAGCAGGAGGTGGTGGTGATCACCCAAGGAAGGGAGAGACAGAAGGCGGTAGGGGTTTCGGGAGATGGAAACAGAAAGGGGACTACAGACGTTGACAGGGTCGACGGTGTCTTACCAAAACCCTATCCTGGATTCATCTCCTTCCTTGCTTTGACATACTCGAACGCTGAGTCAATCCCTAAACCAGTTCCGAACCCGCACCCTTCCTCTTCCTCCTCCGAAACCACTCCGACAGCAGCCACTACTTATACCCAATTTTCCAAGGAAAGAATGAGGAGATGGAGGAGTTTGGCTTTCCCTCTCTCTACGGAGCAGTGACCTGACTGCGTGCTAGAAAGCAAGGAAGAAAGGAAAAGAGACGGCAGACAGACAGACGGCCGCCTCGCTTTCCTTCTTTTTCTTCTCTTTCTCTGCTAATCAATCAAACTCTTTTATCGGCTTCGTTCATCCGTCTCCTGTTCAATCGTTCTTTCTTTCTTTCTTCCTGCTTTCTTCTGCTGGACTGTTTCAATTCCCACGTCCATCCAAGTTGTGTTGTATCAGCAAAATAATTTGAGCGAGAAGGAAATCTATTGCACAGGAAATGGATCCGATGACGGCATCCACACATGGCCACCATCTCCCTCCCTTCCGCGCACGAGATTTCCACCACCTCCACCATTCGCCGCAAGTACCCCAACACTTCCAAACGCAGCAGCAGCAGCAGCCCAAGATCGAAGAAGAGCACAGCAGCCTCCACCGCGGCAACATGGATGACAGCAGCAGCAACAACAACAATAACTTTATAGGTAGCAACAGTTCGAACAGCGCTGACGGAAAGGAGCAGGCGCCGATGACATCGCCCGGCAGCGGCGGTGCAGAGGGGGAGATCAATCGCAAGCCACGGGGCCGGCCGCCAGGCTCGAAGAACAAACCGAAGCCACCGATCATCATCACCAGGAACAGCGCCAACGCGCTACTGTCCCACGTGATGGAGATCGCCGGCGGGTGCGACATCTGCGAGAGCGTCGCCACCTTCGCGCGCCGGAGGCAGCGCGGCGTCTGCATCCTTGGCGGCACCGGCACCGTGATCAACGTCACCCTTCGCCAATCGGCCTCCCCCGGTGCCGTCGTCACCCTCCGTGGCCGGTTCGAGATCCTCTCCATCTCCGGATCCTTCCTGCCGCCGCCGGCGCCACCGGCCGCCACAGGAATGACCATCTATTTGTCGGGCGGGCAGGGACAGGTCGTCGGAGGGAGCGTGGTCGGGCCGCTGATAGCATTGGGCCCCATCATCATAATGGCAGCGTCGTTCGGCAGCGCCGCCTACGAGCGTCTCCCCCTCCCGGAGGAAGAGGGTCTACAAGCGCAGGGGCCACTTGGATCACCAGATTTTGTGGGGCAATCGCCGCAGGCCCAGCAGCAGCTGCTGCCCGACCCCAACAACCCGCTCTTCCACAACCTGTCGCCGAGCTTACTCAACAACATGCAGTCGCCTGCGGACGCTTACGGATGGGGCGCCGGAGGAGTTCGTCCGGCATATTGATTCGATTAAAGTTTGCACTCGTTCACTATCTTGCTTTCTTTTCTTCCCTTCTGTTCTTTCTCAGTTGGATTGTCTTCAGATGGGGTTTGTTCTCGTTACTTTGGCTTCTCTCGTTAGGTTGACTCATCTTAGAAATAGCTTGTACAAATCTGGAGATTCTTAGTGGCTGAACTTTGCGAACGAAACGCTTAATTGATGAATATGTCATATGGGGGAAGAAGAGAATGGAAGAATTATGAGTCTGTTTCGTTTCTTTTCTCTCCAATTAACTGCGTACATCTCCCATGCACAGAGAGTTCCGTTCATCCTTTTCGACAGAAGGCAGAGTGAGAAAGAAAGGATCAAGCATTGTACTTGAGCTCTAGCATCACTATCTGTTGCTTTGCAGACCACTCCGGTTTCCACAACTCAGTTCATCACTTCTAGACTCCATTCCTAAAGCTCTCCATCATCCTGTCTAATGGCATTCATAAGCTCTTTTACAAGACATTACTATCATGCACGACTTTTGGTCTTCACAAACTCCTTACCCGACAATACTACTGTCTTCAGCCATTCTTGAAACAAAACCTAGCAAATTGTCCATTTGCACTGACATTTTACGATGCTTATTCTTCTTCTTCTTCTTCTTCTTCTGTGGTATGAGGGAATTCCTCTTCCTGTCCCGTTGACAGCAAGAGGGTCAGATGGCCAAGCAAAGTCTGGTACTTTGGAGTAGCAACAAGGAGTAATGGAGGACTGTCCTACACGTGCATTCTTTCTCATCGGCTTCTTCCCGAGGCAAACCAGCCAGCTTGAAAACAAGGCATCATGTAGGGGTGCAAACCTACTCCGCCTCTCACATGAACAAGAAGCAGCAGCAGCAGCAACAGTAATGGCAGAAACAGCACACGCAGAGGGGTCGACAGACATGTATATGTTTAACCTCCTCCGTACATTACTGGCCAGATTCCACATAGGAGACTTATCTTCTTCTTCTTCATCATCAAAATTGGTCTTCAAACTCCAATTGAAGACTTTTGTTCTTGACGATCTTTCAACTCTCTTCGGCCATTGTGTGGGGAGAACGATCGGCCATGTTTCTGCTGCTGAATTGTCGATTTTACGCCTTTTTGTTTTCGTCATATCCTCTTCATGTTAGTCAAATTATATTGCAAAGTCAAATGGTCGTTCATCAAATTTCAGGTCTGATTTTAGAGTATGCAATTTAGGTTTATGTAATTGCTCCCATGCATTATATCTCTCCTTGGTTGCAGTTTTTCTCATAAATTCCAACAATACATGTGTTTTATTTCTTTTCTATAGGGAAACATTCCAATGTACATGTATTTTAGAGCTTTAGGATCGCATTGAATCAATCTTTTTTTTCTTCTTCAGTTTATCTTAGATATGAAAGTTTCTAAATATTTTTTAAATAATTCAAGTACAAGTATAGTTTAGATAAAGTTTATTATGCATTCCTTTTTAATTGTGCAGATAAACTATTATATTTTCTTCCATTTGCCTCATGATACTAAGTTACATTAGGAAATCGAGATATCATGATCATATTATTGTTATATGAACTTGTCTGAAACTTAGTAAGATCAATCGTTCTTTTGAGAATTCATGGATTTGTCAGTGACAAGGTATGCATAATGTGAGAGAAAGGGAGGATAGCTGTTCGAGAATTCATGGATTTGCTAGTGACAAGCTATGCATAATGTAAGAGAAAGAGATGATCATATGTAAGTGTAATTATTTTCAAATAATAATATATTATTAGTTCAAGTTTAAATTATTTAAAATATATTAAATTAAAAAACACATATAAAATATATTAAATTAAAAAAAACACTTATAAATTCTATCTAATCAACTTATTTAAAACTAAAAATCTTCAAATCAATTTATCTTAAGATTTTTATCTTTAATTAACTTATCTAAAAGGATAAGAATCTTAACATTCTCTAAAAATAATACTTTAAATCTTAGCAATCCCCCTTAAAGTATATTTATGGAGATAAGTCCCAAGATCTTCAAACGATCCTTGCTTTTGATCTCTATAGCCTTAATAACTTATTGAGGTACTTTTTTTGGGATAAAATGATGTTAAATTTTAATAAGCTAAATTAGATTTGTAGTTAATTTTAAATCACTTTGATTATCGTATTATAGAATACTTGTTTTGTTAATTTGATAATAAATATCCTCAATCAAATGCCTAAGTCAAATACACTCTTAAGTGAGAGTCAATTATAGAAAGGAAGATCGATTATTGTTTCTTATTGATAGAAGATAAGATTTCTTCAACTATATGAGAAAAATTTCTTTACTCTGTTGAGAGAAATCCTCTATTCTGTTGAGGAAAATCCTCTCTCCTAATCTGTATAAATTGTATAAATAGGAGAGAGACATGTTAATGTATTCAAGCTAAAGTTATTTCAATAAAGCTTCTTCAATAATTGTTCTTATCTTCTATTTTTTTCATCATGGTATCACTTCTCGTTGTCGACTCATCTATTGCTTCTCGTTGTCGACTCATCTATTGCTTCTCGTTGTCGACTCATCTATTGCTTCTCCACCTTTGATGGCAAAAGAAAAAGCTTTCTACTACTGCTTTTCCATCGTCAGGCTATCAGTGCGATAAATCTTTTCTCCTCGATAAACGACAACTATCTTCTCCACTACCACTTTGCACCAACGTCCGTTCCCTTCCGCTGTGGCGTTTCCTCCTCTGTTGTATCTCTATTGTAGCTTTCTCCTCTACTGCACCTTTGCTATTGCTTCCTCCTCCTCTGCTGTACCTCTATTGCAGCTTTCTCCTCTGTTGCACCTCTGTTGTAGCTTCCTCCTCTATTATAGTATTGCTGCAATATCGTTGCAACTTCCTCCTCTGCTGCAACTTCCTTCTCTACTGTAGCTTATTCCTCTACTACAGCATTGATATAACTTTTTATATTACTGCAGCTTTCTCCTCTATTGCAGCCGTTGCCGTTGTAGCCGCAACAACAACAATAGCAACAACAGCAGCAACGATCTGCTCTTGCCCTACTCACGAAGCCTCTAGCTCGTAAATCATTATTTGCGTTGATCCAAGATTGGTATCCTTGACAGGAGCATCATCTTGCGGGGGCATGATAGAAGATAAGATTTTTTCAATTATATGGGAAAATTTTTCTACTTGAGGGATATCATTTATTCTGTTGAGGAAAATCCTCTCTCCTAATATGTATAAATAGGAGAGGGACATGTTAATGTATTTAAGCATTTTTATTTTTTCAATAAAGCTTTTTCTCTTCTTCAATAAAGCTTCTTCAATAATTGTTTTTATCTTCTATTTTTTTCATCACTTATAATAATACTATGAGATACAAGTAGAATCATATAAAAAGATAATCAAAAGTTGATCTATGATTATTTAAATCACCTCTTATATTAGCATTTGCATAACAATGTAATTCAAAATAAATAATGTTCTTGTATAATATTCTCAAATAAAGGTAGAATTTATATATTTTAAGATTACCTTTGTTACATCAAAATGTAGCTTACAAGACTAACTAAAATTACAATATCTGGTCTTGTAATTGTTAAGTAAAAAAGACTACCAACATAATTATAATCTAGTTTTATTTTTGCATCAAGTGGCGTGGCAACTTTTTTATTTTTGTTAATTCCAAACTTTTCAAGAATTTTCTTTACATAGCTTGTTTGAGAGGTAAATATACTTTCTTTTGTATTCATTATCTCTAGACCAAGACAAATATTGAGCTCCAACAAGACTTTCATTTCAAACCAAAGAAAAAGATCATTATGAAACTTTAAAATCTCTACTTTGTTATTACCGATAATGATTATATTATCCACGTATAGAAGAATAATAATATATAAGCTTCGTTACTTTTTCACAAATAAACTAAGGTTTGAATGAAAGGAAAAATAAATATAGAAATATAAATATTGAGTAAATTTTTCATGTCATACTCATAAGAGAGTCTTTTTTAGCTTGCAAATATAACTTAATTTAAAAATAAAAATATATCAACATGGTTACTCTATATAAATATCTTTATTAATTTCATCAAAAAAGAAGGTATTCTCCGCATCAAATTGTTAAGGCTTCCATCAGATTAGCTACTAGAGCAATAACTACCATAATAAATGTCATCTTAGCCATAATACTAAAGGTTTTCTTATAATCTTCGGTATATATTTTTAAAAATTATTTTCTTATACTTTCATCTTATGTTTCATCTTATAGACTTATTTACAAGTAATTAGATCTACATTATTCGAAGACTTTAGCATAAGATTTCAAGTTTTATTTTTATAAAGTGTCTTCATTTCTTTATCCATGGCATCCTCAACTTCTTGACACCTTTGACTTTATTAAAACAAAATAGGGTTAAGATCATTAATTGATTCAGAAAAATCATAATGATATATGCTTACATTATCTCCATCTTTGTAATGTACTAGTTTACTAGTTTGATAATTATTCTTTTTGATCTTTTTAATCTTGAAAATTTTCTCTTCATAAGTATTATTACTCTTCCTATCACTTTGCTACATAATTGGTGATTAAGAAATACTAGAGTGGATGTAGATGAAGAAGAAGAAAAGCCACACAAGTTTTGAATACATATATATATATATATATATATATATATATATATATATATATATATATATATATATATATATATATATATATATATATATATATATATATATAT